GGCCTGAAGGAGGAGCCCTGCGCCCTTTCGCCAGAGCTGGCTTTCGGTGATGGTGCCTCACAAGCTGCTCCTGGCACCGGGTGGATTTCTCAGGATACGTTTTCAGAAACCAGCGAGAGGCCCGGGTGCTGAGGCGGCTTGGGTCTTTGGCTTCTCCTTTAGAAGATGGTGATTGAGTCACAGCTGCCACGGAGCTGCCGCTTCCTCCATGCCAGGCACAGCTGAGGTGCCTGCATTTTTCTCGGGCGCCCACCTTGAACTCGGTGGCCTCCATTGGCAGGTGAAGGATGCAGGCTCAGAGGCTGAGACTTTGCCCAGCGTCCTGCCTCTGGAGGAAGGGGCCATGCCAGGATCACAGCAATGCCCTCCGGGCTAGGAAGCCCGTGTCTCACCCTCTTAGCTCAAAGACGGGCTGGAACTGTCCTTGCAAAGCTCTGCATCCGGATACGCAGCACGGGCTGTCCTGAGAGCCAAGTGGTCCTTGTCGGGGTCGCTGAGGCAGCCCAGGAGCCCCTCAATCCTCACGAGGGCCCTTTGTGTACGGGCCTGTGCAGCCAGCGGGTGAACTGACCTGCCTATTTCAAGGGACCCGGGCGGCCATGGTCAGTTGGCTGCGCGTCTGCAGAGTATTTGGCTTTGCCGTCTCACGCTGTCCACCCAGAACCAGGCCGTCTCGGGACATTTGGCATCGAGTAACATAAACCCCCTCCGACTTGTCTGGCAATGATGGGACTCTTCCTGAAAGCAGCGTAGGACCTCTTATAGGGGGCGTGGCCAGGCACAGGAGGACCCAGCCCGGGGATGCATAGCAGCTGGTCTCTCTCTCTCTTTTTGCACACGGCTGTTTCCTCCTGCACACGGCTCCCCTGTGGCTCTCAAGTTCCTTGTACCCAATGCATATCGCCGGACCAACAGGGCCATGGTCATTGTCACCTGAGCCCACGGGCCCACTTTGGGAAACACTGCCCAAGCAGAACCATTCCCACGGAGAACAGCCCCTAGCCCACAGCGGGAGCTGAACACGTGGTGCGGGTGGGTCAGCTGGTTCAGCCGCGCACACACACACCAGGTAGCCCTCTACCCGCAGTCTCAGCCAGGCTCCAGGCTTCTGCCTCAGTCGCCTGCTCGCAGCTGCCCTTCATCAGAACTGCCCTCAGTTTGAGAAAAGGGGAAGTCAAAATTGAGAGCAGGTGGAGTATCCACTGTGGGCCCAGCACTGCCGGCGATGCAAAGGTAAGTGCCTGCCTCCAAGGGCTTCGGCTAAGTTTAGGGGCGGAGCTAAATGGGGGGATTTGTTCTCACAGAACCCAAGGGCCGAAGTACAGCTGGGATTCCCAGGGGCCAGGACCAGAGAGTCATCAGCAGACAGCCGTGTCTGAGGTCTCATTGCTCCCGTCCGCCTCTTCTAGCTTCATTCTCTCTGCAGAGCAGCATCCCCTGCTTCCCTCGCCTGTGGCCCATCAGGATGGCCCCCAACAGCCCCTGATCCCCGAGGCCACATCACCCAATGGCCTCTCGGTCCATCCCAGGCCCAACTCCTGGGAAAGAAGGGCCTAGCCCAGCTCCGCATCTGATTGGTTCTCCTGGGTCAGGTGGACATGATATCAGGTCCAATCAGCTGTGACCTGCAAGGGTATAGGTCACATGACAGCAACCTGGCTGCCGAGATGCCTCCTCTGGGTGAGATGGGAGTGCGAGGCAGGCTCAAACTCAGGTGGGTGGCTTCTCCCTCATCTCTGTCCTCTTATGTTTTCCTTTAGAACCAAAATGTGATGCACAGGAAAGGACTAGGGTTTTCTGGTTTTTATTTTATTTTTATTTTTTATAGTCAACAGATGGAGCCCTGATAGATCTGAACCAAGGAGCAAACAGGACGAGGGTGGCCTGGGGAAGCTGAGGGTGGCCTGGTGGTTTTAACATAATATGGCAGATAACTTCCTTGCTTCTCTCGGCGTGATTCAGGACCCCAGCCTGTAGCTAACATCCTCTGTGCCTTTAACAGATAAACCCATGCTCTATGTTCTATATGCCAGCGACTCACAGTATGTTCTGAGCAATGTGAATTACTTCCTCCTCGATCCTTTCCACACAAAGCCAGCCGGCCCTCCGTTGCTCTCCCACAGTGATCCTGCCCCGGGAGAGAGAGTCGGGAAGTGGGGGAACGCTGGGAAGTGTGCAGGCTGAAGGGGGCTGGTCTCTGAGAGTGAAGCTGGAGCCCCGTGTTGGTTTCCTGTCGCCACAGGGACCGTTCCCACAAACTTTGGGTGTGGCCTCAGACCCCTGAAACCTGTTCTCTCGGAGCTCTGCGGGCCAGGAGCCCACAGTCAGCACCACCTGGTTTGCGGTCACGGTTTCAGCGGGGCCGTCCCTTGGATGCTCTAGGGAAGACTCCATCCCGGGCTCTTCCAGCTCTGGTGGCCGCTGGCATCCTTGCCGTGTGGCTGCATCACTCCTCTCTCTGCCTCTGTGGCCGCATGGCCACCGCCTCTTCCATGTATGGGATCTCCCCATCTCTTACTCATGAGGACATTTGTGGGTGACACGTAGTGTCCCTATCATCCAGGATCTCCTGAGCCATCTCTGCCCGGTGGGCCACATCACTATGTGGTTAAGGATTTGCTACAGAAGGTTTTGCCATGCTCGGGTCCCTGATGTCTTTGGGGGCCACCATTCAGCCCACTACAAGCCTCAAGTCTCTCTCTCTCTCTCCCGAGGAGGGTCTAGGCTGGGGGGATATGCAGGACGTCTACCAGAGGCAGAGTGAGAGTCCTTTTCAAAAGCCGCTTCTCAGCACAGCTCACTGGAACCCTGCTGTCCCCTTTCCTCTCCCCTCCCATCAGGAGGAGGCATGGAGAGTAACTGCAGAATAGGCCCAGCCCAAAGATACACAGAGACCCTCGGACTGGCTCAGCAGCAGGCAGGACCAGAGCAGCCTCCAGGTGTCCCAAGCCAGCAGGCAGGTCCCCGCACTCCCTTCTTTATAGATAACTAGAGGCCGGGTGCACAAGATTCATGCACTGGGGTAGGGGTTTCCCTCAGCCCGGCCTGTGCCCTCTCGCAGTCCGGGACCTCCAGGGGTCCTTAGCACTGCTGTGGAGGTGGGAGAGGCTCCCGCCATTGCCGCTGTGCTCACCAGCGTAAGCCTGGCTTCTGGCTGAGCAGTGCTCCCCCTGTGGGAGTGCACTGACCACCAGAGGGCAGCTCCTGCATTGAGCGTCTGCCCCCTGGTGGTCCGTGCATGTCATGGTGACAGGTTCTGCCGTTTGGTCAATTTACATATTAGGGTTTTATCATATAGGATTTGCTTCAGGAAAGTGAAAGGTTGGAACTTCAGAACCTGCTGCCAACCCCCAGATACGGAGTGGTTCACCTCCTAATGGTTGCCTCTCCCAGCCCACGGGAGCTTTTAGGAATCGCCTAGGGCCTGAGAACTACGCTTCCAACCACGCTCCCAGCCACGCAGGCTCCTACAGGCCGCTCCACGGGTGCCAACACTAGGAAGGCCCTTTGGGAGCCAGGTCTGCCTTCCCAGACGTCCCACTCCCCTCCGCAGCCCGCGGCCCTCTGGGCCGTTCTCCTTAGCCAGCCTGCATTCCCGGCCTCGCAGGCAGTCCCTCTGTCCTCCCCACAAGGACGTGCTCACCCCCTTCATAATCACACAGCCCGGCAGTTCCGGGCAGAGCTCCCTCTTGGCCAGGTCTCAGGGATAGAGAGGTAGGAAGGATGTTCCAATAGATAGTGAGCTGCTAAGCACCAGAACTTCCTTTTTTAAAAAAAAAGATTTTTATTAATTCCAGAGAGGAAGGGAGAGGGAGATAGAAACATCAATGATGAGAGATCAATCACTGATTGGCTGACTCCTGCACACCTCCTACTGGGGATCAAGTCCACAATCGGAATCAAATCTGGTACCCTTCAGTCCACAGTCCTTTATCCACTGAGCCACATGGCTAGGGCTAACCCCAGAACTTTCTGCGGGGCCTGTGGGCTCCCCTGTTCTTGGGGGGGACACAAGCCCGCATTCAGCGTCTGGAAAAGCCCTTTATGTGGAGTCACGTGTTTAAGAACGCAGGCCCTGGAGCCAGATGGCCTGGTTCAAGCCCCAGCCCTGCCACTTCCGCTCAGTGTGGCATCGGCCCTTTAGTGACTCACTTACCAAATGGGTCACATACGTGGGGTGCTTAGCACAGCGCCTGCTGTACAGCACGTGCTGGGTACGTATCGGCTGTTAGCATGACTGACATTGCTCCATGCTATGTAACTCAGCACCCACATGTACTACATATAAAATACTTTATCATAAAACGCTCGGCTGCACGGCATCTTAGAAGGGAACTTGCCCTCCAGCTCTCCTGCCGCTACACGGGAGGGACTAGTCACGTGTACTGGTTAAGACTATGGTCCTCAGCATCTTCAGGCCTCGGGCCCTTGAGGAACCCACAGCGTCGGGCTCCAAGAACCCCACCCGGGCCTCACCCCCCCCCCCCCCCCCAGAGGCCTCGGCCCTTTGCTCGGGTCCCACGCCCTCGCTGCCAAGCTGAGCTGCAGTTCCTACACGCGGTCCGGGGCTCGGGGAAGAAAGTGAAGGCATAACTTAGTTTCTTTTGGAAACAGAACAGTCTCAGTGGAAGCAAAACCGAACCACACTCTATCCCCCGTCCCCGGGCATCCTGTCCTGGTCGGAAAGAGGCTGTCGCCATCAGGGATTCAGTTGAGGAAAGACAATGGGGGACCATGGACCGCCCCTCCCCCCCACGGGACCTGCAGCATCACGAGATCCCAGATGGCATCTCTGCCCGGCACGCCAGTGACGAAAGGTCCTGTGGACGTGCATCACCCCAGAATCACAGGGCTCCCCAACCCACACCCCTGTTCGAAACGGCTCCGTCCGCATCGGTCCCCCTCGCTGCTCAGCGGTGGCCGGAGTGGCTTCATTGGGGTCTGTGGGTGCGGAGGGCGAGTGGCAGGAGGGAGCGCCCCGGCGGGTGGGGGGGGGCCCGTCAGTCGGGGGGCCGGGTGTTGGGGGCCTTCTCCTGGACCTCGTCGTACTGCGGCGGGGGCGTCAGAGGCTCGATGGAGGGTGGAGGGGCGTTTTTGTCCGGGAGGTTGATCCTGAAGTCTTTGAGGTGGAGCTTCTCGGACTTAATCCTTCGCACTTTCAGCGGCTTCAGGCGCTTGGCCAGCTTGGAGTTCTGCCTGTCGGGGGGGTGCCCCTCGGCGTCGGCCCGGGGGGTCGTGGGGCTCGTCTCGTCCAGCCCCGTCAGGGACTCGTAGGAGGGGAGAGAGATGCTCATCCGCGGGCTGTGGTCCGGCTCCCGGGCTCCGGGGAAGTTGGTGTTCATCACTTCCTCGTAGCTGGGGACGTAGTACCTGGACGAGGCCTCCTCCTCCTCCTCCTGGCTGCAAGACAGCAAGCATGTGAGCAAGCCCTCCATCGTAGAGAATCGCGAGAAGACGGACTTGACATCGAGCGCTAGCCTTGGACTCACAGACCGACCAGCCTTGGAAAGAACCATCGGGCCCCAGAAGTCCTAAAAGCTAACGCTTCCCCTGTTTGCTACGAGCCAGGCCATGAGCTAAGTTCATTAGCACCTAGGAACCCGTTTCATCGTCCTGTGAGTCAGGTGCAATTATTATACCCATTGGATGGATGGGAAAACCGATACACTGAGGTGACCTGACCCGGCCATACCTTTAGCAAATGAGAGGGTGGGAACTGGATAAACATTCTCAGTCCCTACATCCTGTTATCTGGGTGTTATTGCTCCTTGTCGGGGAGTCCCACACTTAGCATGCTAAGAGGGCCCTTCTGGTGCCCAGCTAGCTGGTCCTGTGGCCAAAGGCAGTGTAAATACGCATAAAAGAGCTTAAAGCAAGATGGCTGCCCCCAGGTAGAGAAGGCATCTCTGAATGTAAAATGTCTACGTATTTCAAATTGTTCCGTGATTTTTATCTCAGGTTCACCATCAGACTCAAAGAGTAAGTCAAGCCCTCAGCCTTACGTTCATTTGATTGCTGAAATACACCGTCCCGCTTCCCACACTCCCAAATCAGGGTGGTTTTTTTTTTTTTTTTTTTTTTTTTTACACACTTATAGGGACTGATGCCAATAGCCATCTCCCGGAGCCCTACACTTGAACCTATGGGGTGGTAACAGCCAGCATCAGAAACCCTGTGGTTGCCCTGGGTGAGCTCATTTTGGAGGGTAGTTATGGGGGGAGGTGGGTAATGACGGGGGACTGATTTTCCTTCTTTGTTCATGCCCCTCTTACCCAAGTTTTCTAACACATGCACGCTTGTCTTTTATTATCAGAAAACTGGCTTAATTCTTCCAGAGTAAAAACAACTCCCTCCCACTGTAAGGAGCTCTTTCCTATAAGATAACGAGCTACTCACAGAAAATTCAATCACAGAAAGATCCGGTGAAGAAAAGGAAACCCTCCCCAGCCCTTCCACTGCTAACGTCCTGCCTCACGCCTTCCCAGATCTGCCCCCACCTAACCCTGCAGCCACAGGACAGGAGGCAATGAGGCCGCCCTCCACGCAGGCCCGGCTGTCCCATCAAACACTGTGGTTATAACACAGCATCCCGCACCCAAGATGCTGTGTGGTAACCCCCTGTTCTCAGGGTGGTGGTCCCCCCCCCCCCCCCCGCCCCCAATTAGCACGTACAGACCAGCTGTGACTGCACGGAAGGTCGCTGAAGGGCAGGCCACAGTGTAGGCCGATGGGTGGATACTTAGGTTGTGTCTCTGAGAAACATACAGGCACCAACTCCTCTGGACGTGTGCGGTTATAAGCTCTCGGAACAGAATCGATAGGCACACGCACCGTTAACACCCCCTCCTGCTGTGAAACTAACTCCCCTTCAGCAAGGTCACGCAGCCTCGGGGCTGCCCGTCACGGCCACCGGCACGAGAGGCAAAAAGAACGGCACCTTCTCGGGGTTTGCATTTCGTGGCTAATGAGGTTGAACACCATCCACTGTCTGGAGGTCTCTGGAATGCTTGCCTGTGCATCCTCGTGTCCATCTCCCCATAGGCCTGTTTGTCTTGCGTCTTCGTGTGAAGGGCTCTTGATAAACGGGGACCTCGAAGCTGATCATCTATCCCCAATACATCGCCTAGCTTTTCATTCTGTTTGGGACATTTGTGATCCAAGAGAACACCACTTCCTAACCATTTCCACTCGGAGCAGCTGCCCACAGCACGCCGGGGTGGGGGTGGGGGGTGGGGGATGGACAAGCAGCCCATCTGGGGGCTTGGGCCACCCCAGTCCCCACGCCACTTCTGGGGGGAGGTGGGGGGGACATCCACATCTAGGTGCATCTGTAACCCGCTCACACCGTTGTCCTTGGCAGACTCTGGGACAGAAGTGGAAGGTGACGTGTACCTTGGGAAGCTGTGTCACAGAGCCCGCGTGGGGGAGAGGGAAGGGAAAGCTTCAGACTACGCTGCTCTCCTCACTGAAGGATGGAAAAGCTAGTGAGGAAAATGAAACCACACACCCTCCGTCTGCTCGCATTCTGCAGACTCTCTGCAGACCCCTCCCTAACCCTCAGCTACGATGTCTGGGTGTGTGCGAGCCTGGCCCTGGCCGGTCTGGGCCGGGGTTTGGGGGGAGAAGAATTGGCCCGTCCTCACCTGTCCTCCTCGGGGGCGTGCGTCTCGGGCCCCGGCAGGTGCTGGATGTGCGCCATCTCCTCGCCCTGCCGCTGCTTCCGCTTGTCCCGGATGCTCAGGCAGATGGAGAGCAGCAGCAGCATCACGCCGGCCCCCACCAGCACGTAGGCCACCGAGAACGTCTTGCTCTTGAGGATGCCGCTGCCCACTTCCGTCTTGTTGCTGCCCTGCGCGGGGGGCTTCTCGCCGGAGCTGAAGCCGGGCACCAGGTTCCACATGGCCATGATGACGCCCAGGACCAGCATCCCCAGGCCGATGGCCGTCAGCGCGTAGTGCGAGCCATTGGCCTTGGACTGGGCCATCATGCCAGCGGGAGCGGGGCCGGGCCCAGATCCAAGTTAGAAAATAAATTAAAAAATGGCAGCCGCTGACGCTGTCACCACAAAAACCCCGAACCGCACCGAACAGGGTCCCTAACGCCGCGCTAAAAACACAGCGGAACTCGGGCCAAGGCGAGGCATCCGGACGGACGGACAGCGGCAGCCAGAGCCTGGAGGGAAAGCAGAGGAGAGGCAATCAGCTCGGCCGCCACGCCTTGGAGCTTGGAGCGCAGCGGCTGCTCTGGGAGGGATTGGGGAGCAGCACTGAGATGGAGCTGGAGCCGGCGGGGCTGCCTTTGATGCATTCCAGATGTCTTACAGCTCAGCTCGGCTCCCTCTGAGAGCCTGCACCCGGCACTGCCCCGCCTACCCCCACCCCAAAAGGCACAGCCAGGCCTTCCCCGGCTGGAGGCCAGAGGGGTCAGGCCTGCGGGTCATGCAAACATCGAGTGGAATTACATAAAGTGCAGCGAGCTTTCACGGGAGTACGGGAGGCGTGTGAACGATGGCAGGCACCAGCCGTGATCGATGCTGATAGCAGAACAGCCGGGGCAACTGGCATCGGCCAACGGGACCGGCAGCCAGCCGGAGGGGGTCCTTCCCCAGCCCCAGTGGCTTCCCGTTTCCTGCAGCTGAAACGCCAGGCTCTTCTGAACAAGGGTCATGGCCCGAGCCAGTCTGGCTCAGTGGATAGAGCACTGGTCTGCAGACTAAAAGGGTCCTGGATTTGATTCTGGCCAAGGGCACGTACCTCTGTTGAAAGCTGGACCCTTGACCCTGGTTGGGGCGCATGAGGGAGGTAACCAATCCATGTGTCATTCTCACATCTATGTTTCTCTCTCTCTACCTCTTCATCTCCTTTCTACTCTCTTTTTAAAAAAATCAATGGAGCAGAAACCAGTTTGGCTCAGTAGATAGAGCGTCAGCCTGCAGACGGAAAGGTCCCAGGTTCGATTCCGGTCAAGGGCATGTACCTTGGTTGCGGGCACATCCCCAGTGCGGGATGTGCAGGAGGCAGCTGATGGATGTTTCTCTCTCAATGATGTTTCTAACTGTCCCTCTCCCTTCCTCTCTGTAAAAAATCAATAAAATATATATTTTTTTAAAATCAATGGAAAAATATCCATGGGTGAGGATTAACAAAACAATAACAACCAAAAAGGAATGAGGGTCATGGCTGACCTGGCCTGGTCCTGCCTCTCCCCCTCATCGCTCACCTCGCCCCTCTTTGCACACCCACCTGTGGCCTTTCTGCAGTTCCGGGACCACCCCAGCTCAGCCGCCCCTACAGTCCCCCCCCCCCCCCCCCCCCCCGAGTGTGGCAAGGCTCCCTCTTCCTGTGACCCCATCGTCCTCCTCTGTGCCTGGATGAAGTAGGGACCCAGACACTGTCTGCTGAATCACGGGAAAGAGATGATCAGAGGCTGCATGAAGACAGGTTTCCCTTCAGCCATGTGGGGCTCTCCTTTGCTTAAAGGGACAGGCGCTTGGACGGTCCGCATCTTAGCTGCTGTGCCCCTCTTCCCAAAGCGGCTCAGAGGCTTCTGCTCCAGGGAGCAGCCGGCTGCCCCGGGGTCCCATAGCCACTTCCTGGCCGGCGAGTGGGCCACGTGAGCAAGTCACCTGAAGGGTTAGCCTGGGACACGTCCAGGGGCCAAGGAGGACGAGCAAACAAAGCTCACGCGTGTGCGTGCGAGTGTGTGTGTGTGTGTGTGTGTGTGTGAGAGAGAGAGAGAGAGAGAGAGAGAGAGAGAGAGAGAGAGAGATACTTATCCATTATCTGTTCCTTCAGTGTCAGGCTGACAAGCATGGAAGTGCAAGCGTCCAAACAGCATGAAAGCAGAGTCAGGATTCTCCCCCTCCCCCAGCTCAAAGGAGACTCAGAGGTCATGTGTAGCATGCAACGGACCAGGGACCCGGCCGGAAATCCATGAGGAAGCGGTGCTCCCTGGTGACCACTCCTCAATGTGCTGACCCCGCGAGACAGCAGCCTCTGCGGGCAGCAAACGCCCGCGGATGTTTAGATGGGCAGGGCCCTCCTCTCAGCTCCGCATTCTTTCCGATCTTCCCCGGAGGACGGCTAACCAGGCTGCCTGAAACCCAGTGCTCTGGAGCTGTTTTCTCATTAAACAACGGCCTCACTCTGACACTGACCGTTCTGTTAGACAACACTCTGTAAGTATTTGGGATAACATGCTTCATCAGCTTGAAGTCTGTTTCTTCCTCTCCGCCCTTCCCTCGCCCACCACATTTCTGTGCATCTGCGAAGCAGTCCCAGGCCTGAGAGAAACACGGGTGAGCAGGGTAAGGGTGGGTGGGGCTTCCGGGCAGCAGCGAACAGTCTACAAGGAACAACCATAAAGTGGGAAGAAAATACAGGAACTGCGCAGTTAGGCAGCCAGGGTCCTAAGCTGGGCTGGAGGGAGTATGGAAAGTCTCTGCAAGATGGATGTCCCACTGGCACCCAGAGGGCCTGCACCCGCTACATTGTGTGTGCACCTATGTGCATATGCATGTGTGTGAATGGTGTAGGATCCTGTGTGTGTGTGTGTGTGTGTGTGTGTATGTGCACAGTTGTGCATGTGTGTGACATGCAGGGCACAGGGTCCTGCTGCAGATAGAGTGGGACCAGCGGAACAGTCTGCCGTAAGCACAAGAACACTGGTTTCTCACAATGTCGCTCACAGCCAGCAAGGGTCAGGAGGAGGGGTTTGACGGCCCTAGAAACTTCTGCCGGATGGACCTGAGACCAGGCAGAGGCGGAGGGCACAGTGGCAGAGCGGTGCAGCCTGAGGCTTTTGCTAGCATAGTAGGCGAAAAAGCCACAAACCGAGCACCTGTGAGGCCCCGGCAGGTGGCTTTGTGTCTGGGAGGCTGATGGTGTGTGTGTTCGGCCGCCCCCTCGTGAATTCTCCCATTCAGGCGCTGCCTTATTTGGTCAGGGAGGAAACAGGCCCAAGATGAGAGTCCGGGGCAGAGAGGAACACGCCAGGACCCACACGTTCTAGGCCTCAGGGTGGGTGGGTGAGGGTGTTGGGATGGGCAATGTCACACCATTTCTCTGGGTGGTCAGTGCTGGCATTTACGGATCAGAAGTTTCCGCAGTGTTTAGAGCCTTTGGTTCTGCAATCCAACGTCTACGGATTATATGTAAGGAGAGGATGCCCATCACAGCTTTATGCGAGTGAGAAGCCAGACACGACTTAAACAGCCAACAACCTAGGTCTGGAGAAATGAAACATGCACTTAGTAAATTATGGTCTCCAGGCAACCAATGTCACATTTTAAAGTCCAAGAGCAAGGTTAAAAGAATGGTGTGCTCAGCGTGGCGCTAATTTAAAAAGCCTATCTACACAGATGTGTATATCTGAATGTGTGAGAGAAAAAGACTGGATGGCCCTACTCAGGTGAAAGTAAAAAAGAGACAGTATATTTTCATATCTACAAACACGCGTAAGAACCCCAGGTGAGGGCACATCCCAAATGTGTAACAACGGTTGCTTCTGGGGAGTGAGGGGCCTTGGCAACTGTCCCTGTTACTCTCTGTTTCTGTATTTTTATTTTTTTAATTTTTTTAATTTTTTTACAATCAGAATGCGTTGTTACAAGGCAACACAGCTGGGGGTGGTTAAGTGTGGACTTTGGAGCCAGGATGCCTGTGCTCTCAGATCCTCCCTCTGTGCCTTCCTAGCTGTGTGACTTTGGACAAATTACTTAACCTTTCTGTGCCTCAATTTCCACAACGGTGAAATGGAGATAAGCTCGCTGGCCCTCCTATCATAGGGGAGTTAACGTTAAGTAAAAGCATCCGGGACAGGAGGTCACCAGCATGTAGTAAGTTCTTATAGAAAAGCTTTGTTATTAAATACTGTACAGAGTCTGCATTCTGAATGGGGTGAGATCACCCACAAGGGGAAAGACTGGTTTTGGGGGGTATGGTGTCATAATCTTAGACACCTGAGTGGTCTGTGGCCCATAAACCAACAGTGCCTCCGAGGTATTAAAATTCCATGGGGTCGGGGGGCGAGGGGGTTGGGGAGTCTGGGAGCATCCCAAAAAGAGAGTTTATAAAGAGTCCTTCGGGGACAATGGGAAAGAGTGGTTGAGAAACACGAGTCACAGTGCATTGCAAAACCCTGGATTACACACACCGTGATGTTTACAGTTATTTTCTCTGCATGATGGGATTAGTTTGGTTTTCCTTTCTTTTTCTCACGGCCAAAATGAGACTCAGGAAAAACCCCAGAAATGTGCACGTGTTGCTTTCTGAAAAGGAAAGTGAAATAAAGGGTTTTGTTCTGGGGGCTCACGGCGGGGTGATGTGGCCAGCGGCAGCTTCAGGTGGCTGGTCGGTGGCTCTGCCCCAGGAGCCAGGGTCCCACTGGCCTCGCGGGACTGGGGGAAGGGAGATGTGAACACCCGGCTCCCTGAGGTGCAGCCTGGCTATTTATCTTTGTTTCTGGCTCGCCGGCCCGTGTTATATTTAGTGTGGCGTTCTTTCCCTTTGAAAACGATGGAAAGAAGCTAATTTTGTGCACGAAGGATTTGGACCACGTTGGGTCTGACATGTTCCCAAAACAGAGCGGCCTGGGGGCCGCTTCAGGACCCGAGGGGTCCCAGCTCCGCCAAGTGCACCTCCGGACCCTGGCGTTGGACCTTCCATGGCTCATGGTCAAGGCCGTCCCACGGGTGAAGGGAGGGACCCCAGGCCTGGGTTTTCAAGAAGAATCGTGAAGCAGCTAAGAGAGGGGGCTCACCTGTGGTTACCTGGGCGGCTCCCGAAAGGCCTGAGGACAATGCTTCATGCTCCAGCCTTGAGGGAGGACCCGCCTGTAAGAAAGCAGAGACAGCGGTGTAAGCATGCCGGGAGCACCCATTGTGTTTCGGGAGTTCGGGTATGGGTAGGGGGGACATGCAAGGAAGGTTGTACCCAAAGAAGCCAACATTCTGTACCAACGAAGTGGGGTTACAGAGGGATACCAACG